TCGTGTAAAGTTAATATAACAGCGTAGACGGCAACTATTAATCTTTTATCGCGACGGACGTGGACTGAAAATCAATTTCGTGTGAGAATTAATTATGAGAGTAGGTACGGTAGTTCGGTTCGTTCACTTTCCTCCTCAGGGTCAATTCTACTGAGATTTTTCACCTGCCTTTCGTGCAACGTGTATTCCCCCCCCCCCCCCCTCTCTCTCTCTCTTTCTGTACTATCAGGACTAGGAAAAATGGACTTTGAAGTAATCAATTCCCCCTTTTCAAATTTATTTTTTACTGTTTGAATACGCATAGTGAATAATTTTAGCATGATATTATTAGAAAGCTCTAGCATACAAAAATTGAGAAAAATATACTCATACGCGTATCGTTCGGAAACTGCCACTTTTATTGATACCTTACTTGTACCGATGGGACTATGGATCGGTATATACTACATACGTCCCTTCGATAGGACATTTCTTCTTCAAGTGTAAAATGGGTTATGAGTATCACAGGCGATTCCACGGCACTAGGGTGCTAAGTCCCTGGCGAAAGAATCCGGGGTATAGAGACGAAGAAGGAAAGCAGGAAACACGAGGAAGACAAGAGGGAGAGAGGCCGTCGAGTTGTCTGGCGGTGTCGCCAGGGTGTCTACCGTGGATCATCGGGGAAAGTTAGCGAGCGCAGAGTCAAGGCCGCAGAATGCTGCAGCGCCACCAGCTGCCGCCGCCGCCGTCGGTACCGCATCCACCCTCTCATTGCCCCTTGCGTCCCTCAGCTGCCACCGCCCGTGTAACCCGTCGAGAACCAAGCCACCCCCGCGTCCCGGTATAGAGATCAGCCTGGCCTCGGTGGGGTTGGAAGGGGTAGGCCGTGTCTATGCTGCAGCGACGGTCGATAGAATTGTCTGCGCGCACGCGCAACCGAACACTCGTCAGCTGCGCCATTGATCCCACCCACCCCCTACCGCCCGTCCCTTCTCGGCAGACTTAAAGAGAAGAGGACCGTATAAAGGTCGCTAATTTGTGTAACGTCGACTATGAGGAGCGAGCGTCTTGATGGGACCAAAAGAACATCCTAAGGAGAAAGAAAGCAAAGGGTGGCAAAGAAATGGCAATGGGGGGTCATACGACACACTGATCGAGGGTTCGTCGACGCTTGTGTTGGAGACCCTCGAGACGGGTGAGAGGATGACCAGGTTCGTCGTCTCCCACGAAAGGGTACTTGTAGGCTCAACAGAGACCTCTTTGAGTCTCAGGAAAATAATAAGAACAAAAGAATGACCAACGACGATTTTGATAAAGATACTATCCTTTTATTCGAGTTTATGACGCAACTTGAACATTTATTCGGAAGAGAACGAGCGTGTTTAATTCGAATTTATGTATGTGCGAATTTTAAGCAGGATCAGCGTTCTCCGGTCCGTAGACTTTAGAGCTTCCAGAATGGTCTCTAGAGAAGTTTTATGGCCGTCGAAGACGCAAGTGCCATAAAGTTGGATCGAAGCGAACGAATAAGTATCCTGAGAGAACGAGATAGATGAAGAGGAAGAAATAAGTGTTAACTGGTTGTATCTATTAAATGTTACAACATCGACGACCTCAAGTCAGCAAGGACGAATGAAAAAAAGTGACTAGGTCACTTCTTTAATTTTTGTACAAAAAAAAAGCTGAACTGCTGAACTGACTTCGACGAAGATTGTAACACTCGGAAATTATTGTCGAATGGAGCAAAGAAAGAATAGTTGGCGAGCCAACAACTCTTAGGATGTCCAAAACAGCGGATCCAGCAGAATCGAAGAAACTTTCGGGAGAAGAATCATTGTATGACATATGTCGATCTAAGATCGACCGAATGATGAACCGACAGACCACCACAAGGTCTGACTAAGGGTGAGACACCGGATATGGTTAATGATTTCATGACCGTTGCCGGGAACTACGCGGTATTGATCCTGAGTTGCGAACATCTCACCCCCGTCGCGCACTATGGTTCCTCCTCTTTCATGTAACTGTAGAATCCAGACCTTTCGAATTCCTATTACATAGCGCGTCCCGACTTTTTCTGTCCCTCGCGCGCCTTTGAACTCCGCTGACCATTTCTAGGGGAGATTATTCGAACACTACTACAAATCTAGCGACAGGAATACTTGGGTACGACTCTGGGGAAAAAGTGCCGAAAGGAAACGACGCCGATGGCTTCCCGGAATGCTGAAATACTCGCCATCAACGTTATTTCGCAAGAAATAAATCAGCTTTTATTGCCACCTCTGTAGCTATGTATCACCCAACGCTCGCCACCAAGTGTACGTGTTCTTTAAGTGCGACGAATGCGAAAGTTTTCTCAAAGTTACGTCTGGAGCTGTTTGAAACGAATGACGGACGTGCGAAAGACGTGCGTGTCTAGGAGAAACGACGCGAAACAAACTCGATGAACTTAAGCTAACGAGCAAGTCACTCACTTTGTGCGGCATCTCTCCATATTTATCCTTTGCAGCAGTCACTTCACACTTGTTGTCGGGTCCCACGAAAGCAAGCGACGCGTATAATAGCGAATAAACGATCCATCTATTTCACCTTAAAACCCGAAAGTTCCTTTCACGGATACGCTCGTTCAAACTTCTCACGGAACTTCTGATTCTGACGCAGCAAGAATTTACTAGTCACGAATGCTAAAAATACCTGGGAGAGTGGAAACGATTGTTGATGTTATTCATTAGAAACTACTTTTTTTTGGTCAACTGATAATCAATAATTCAACTAATACATATAATGTAGATATAAAAATTTGCAAAATAATCGTAAATTCTTATAACCGATGTTACGTTGTGCGATCGGGTTAAAAAAATTTTATTACAATCTAACTATCGCGAATATATATTTTCGCCCTCAACATAATCGCAAGTTTATATTTCTCTTTTTTTATCACATCTTCCGTTTCTATAGTCGTTACCGATACAAATAACCACAGAGTTATAATGAAGTAAACTTATAGAAGTCTGTGCAAAAATAACTACTGATTTCAACGCGATACGACAATCGTATATTTTTACTATTGTATCAATGACAACGAAATACCAGGCCGAATAGCTAAAGCCGCAGTTTTGACATTCCGCTGCCGTCCCGGGCCATCAACCTGCCAGGGGTTGCGGCTAATGTCGTTGATATTCAGGACTCAAAGTGCGAGGGTCGCGTTAATGTCGCAGGAGAGGGTTCGGTGTCCAAGAGGGCTATGTGCGGTATCCATCCCGTGCGGTGAACATCTCGGTCTACCAAGGGACGAGGCAAAGCGCCGAGGATTGGCCCGGGAATCGGCCGGGTACGAGCTCATGCAAACCGCACGAATAACCGAAAGGGTTGCTGTACGGACGTCGCTTGGACATAGTTTTGCGATGGTTGAACCAGACCGTTGTCCCAGACATCCGTGCTGCGTATAAAAAAAGAGACGAATCTCGCCTCTTGCCGCGAATTTATCTCGCTTTCAGCCTTCAAGATAAAACGAGACTGATATCACTGGCTGTTAAACGGAGCGAGAGAAGGCTCGGCGCGAGAGAGATTTGGCCGTACTAAAGTTCGCACGAGTGCCTGGCCCCTTTTTTTTGCGATTCTCAAGGAGTCGATATAATCTATCGAGGAATGTGTGGAAACTACGTGAGGAAATATATGTGAAAAGAAAACGAGAGCATTCTAGATGTGGATGTAACGTTCTTTTCACTGCATGGTCTTTTCAGGATTATGAAAGAAATTGAACGAAATGGTTATGGTCTCTTAAAACCGAAATATTTCCGATTACCTTTACTAAAATAACAGTAAAAGAAATAAAGGGTATTTCAAATAAAATTTTATTAATAAATTAAGGAATTCATATTAAAAATTATTATCCCATCAAATATCATGAAAATCACAATAAAAGCAATCTCGAATAAAATAATAGTTGTTTAAAATTGATATTAAATTACATTTTATTTAGATATTAATAATGAATAAATTTTTCAATGGGACATTTAATTATTTTATATTAATTTTAACAGATATAATCGAAAATGTATAGAAGCGTACCGTAACAATAAAATATTTGATACTATTATTTCTAACCAAACATTTCTGATCTAATGTTAAATCTGATCTCTGTAAGAAATAGCCACAGCAGTTCTCAATCAATGACGAAAACCAGTTTTTCTATCTTTGAAAAACCGATCCAATACAAATGCGATGCGGTGTATCATTGTGCGAGAAGAATTCGTTCAGTACTGAAATCGCCCCCGGCCACAGTCGTAAATTTGGCCGATCCTGGATGCTTCCAATATCGACCATTGCCATCGCACCACCCCTGCCCGTTTGCTCGCAACCACAAACCCAGCCACCACCCCTTGCCCTTGACATTCAGTGCCACGAACGATTACAAGGCCGAACTTTCATCCCTTGTAACGACGTCGTCTAAAGTTTAAATTGTAGCCCTGCTAGAGCACATCATCGTATCGCAAGCGTGAAAAATTTCCCAATCGATTGCACCGTAAATACATTATAATTATAGATTGTACAAATTGAAAAACAAAACGTATATATTTACGTATATATATACCAAAATGACTTGAAAGCCCAATCAAGTTATTGTTACATATAAAAATATCTAATAATCTTTAAATTATAAATAAAATTTCTTTATTTATTTTATTTGTAAAAAATATAAATAAGAGAAACGAGAAAAAACAGAAACAAAAAAGTTATCATATTAAATAATAATATATATCTCATCACGTATAAAAAAAGATCAACAAAAAGTACCCGGAATTTGTCGAAGCGTTTGACGTATCCGGAGAGAATGCAGAATTGATTAACGACTAAAACTTAACGCGGTGTAAAAAAAAAAGCACTTAATAATTCACGGTTTACCGAGGAACGTCTCATTTCACTTCGCGTGTGTCTCGGTAGAATGCCCACGGTATTCTACGGACGGGAAATATCGGTGCCCAGAAATACGAGTCACGCAGGTTATACGACGTACATACCTGAGACATCGTGCTTCCTACCCTCCAACTATCTCTGGCACTTCGGCCAGGAGAGAACCGGGCGGCTCCATCTTGGTGACTTTAATAGGATGCCATTCCGTCGGTCCGGACAATGCGCAGTACCACCCGGCAGAACTTTTAGGTCCGCTATCGCTGCCGCAGACGCCCCACCGTGTGAAAGTAATGAAAATTCGGTGATAATCTCTAGCCGTCGCGTGATCAATATACAGGCCGTATATCCGAACTACCGCGCGCTGGCTTTCGATTATAGATGTTAAGCGTCTACAGCGAGATTTTAAGGCGTAAAATTTAAGCTTTAAGAGCCGTACTCTCTAAAACTTTTCGAGTAAATTGTCACTCTAAAGAGTGAAATCTCTCTCTTAAAGATTGAAAAATTGAATCACTCTTTTTCTCAAGACTAGCTCAGTTTTCACTCGTCATAGTGAGATTCCACTCCAAAGAATTTAGAGTAAGAAATTGACTAATCATAGTCTATTGCTCTTCTCACATTCGACTGTAATTGGTCAATTTCTTACGACTTCAGGCTCAAGTTACGTACTTAAAAATTTGATGTTGAACAAAAAATTTTTCGTCAGATTAAGTACCGACGGCTTCTTCAAAGGGATCGATGTTCACATGCGAAATTGTTATTTCAATTAATGATAAGATGAGAAGAGGATCGATAAATATCTTATCAATGTACTCGATACATTAGACTGCTGATAATAGCAGGCAATAAATATGAATAGCACCGTTAATGCCTGATAATATATCGTATCCGATTAAACTTTCTCACGATTATCCGCCGACAATTAACTACTTTGGCCTTTTCTCTTCTTTATTTCAAAGACTTGGATGTCAAAGAGACACCTCGCTCTCCGAATCGCGCGACTTACAGTCGCAGTTTCAGCAAATTGCGCAGTTTTAAATGCTAAATCCGATGATCTACAGCGACTTTTACGACGACTGAAGCTAAAGCTAAAATCTCTCTCCGAGTCCATCCACGTGTAGATCGCCGCACGAGGCTCGCGGCGATTGTGACGACCCTACATATTACGGAAAATTGCGTTCGGCCGTATTTCAACAATATTTCATCAGACGGCGCCCATTTGCGCAATAAATAGGTTTACCATCGAGACGACTCCGTTCACTCGTCGCGGGGGGCGAGCGACGTTCACCGACCGGTATCTCGCAGTTTCCCGCGCGATTATGTGCAAATACGCGCGTTTAGTTGATCCGACGATTGGCCAAGTTGGGCCGCTCACGCAAAATCGAAAGGTCGACGTGCCTCGCCGCGTGCGTGCGTGCGTGCCTTCTCGTGGGAACGTTTGTCAGGAATGATTTTCTCTCGCGGACAGTGCGTATGCCTGAAAGGGAAAGCCACCGTTGCTCTCGCCACTCCCGGCCAAAACGTTATATTGACCTCCCGCAGGCAAATTTCGACATTCGCGCCCATAAGCGTTCCTTCCCGGTCGATTCCCTAACCCCTGGTAATAGCATAATAAATCTACCAACTTTTCGCAGAATTCCCCTCGTAGCCACAGCCGATGCTCAGAGGTCGTTTCACGCGAGCGACTTTCCGTGCCGCGCCTCACCGCGCTCCGACTAGAGTATTTCGGGGACACTATTTCACTATATAGGAGAATTTATATCTTAATTACCGGTACACACCAAAGATACTTTGGACTTGAATCAGTTACGCCTAACGATGGTGAACTTTCTCTATCAATCATCCCACGCCTCTCTTCAATTATCAATTGTTAAAGACTTGCCCCGTTAGCCTGCGGGGATGTTGGATAAGTTTCGCGAATAAATTGGATAAAGAAGAATTATTATATATGATTATTATTCGCGCGCGCGCATTTGTAGTGTGCGCAGGTTTATTAATACCTCGCGCAACTCGCAAGGGAAATTTTCTCGAGTACCTTCCCTGATATGCGAATAATATGGACAAGTTTGGAATAACGCTGAAATATCCCATGCACGTTGCTGGAGGTTCACGTTCGGCACGAAGAACGCAGACAGATCGATCCATTGTGCACAAGAACCAAATCACCGCGCGTAACGCCTCGTATTCCAACTATTTCTCTATCAGGGTCTCCCCTTGCTCAGACTCCCTGTGGGAGACAGCGGGGGGATGAAGCCAACGCGCGCAGACGTCTGCTTGAACAAAGACGCGTGCGAGCCATGGTAAACTGAGAGAAGAAATGTGAGAGAAAGAGGAAAAGTGCTATCAGCCACGAGGGAAAAAATGTCCGTCGTAATAAGTTTCTGCTCACCTCGCGCGCCATTCTGCATTAATTACTTGGGATACCAATGCCAACAAAAATCTCCGGATACCTAGCAGCCGCACAGCAATTACGTTGTACACGACCAGAGAATTCCATGCGCGAAGGAGATTAATCTCCTATTCTAATTACAAAAAAATGCAATGTTAGAAGTGTACTCCTCTCTCTACTCTCCCGTAATGTCCTACGTTTTTAAAAGACCAAACGACATAAAATGTAATCCTTATCTAAATATTAATTAATTTTTTCCTACATACCAGTATTCTGTTCGTAATATAATTGTAGGTTCGTTCTTGCAATCTAAACTAGTGTACACTCGTTATACTTAAAATGAGATATATATTTGGAGTTTGGCGAAAGTGAGAAAGAAAATTTTGGTGTGGTTCAATGCAGCGACAAAAAACAGACCTCATACTTTCTGTTTATTTACACAATTCACTATTTATTTAAAAAAAACTTCCGAGAAAAAAAAATTGCTCGCAATCTCCTCGAGTTAATTACTTCTTGCATACGCTTTCTTATCTCTGCGCTATTATTTTATCTCTTGGAAGCGTCCGAGTTCATATAATTTTGCATCACCGCGAGTAAAAAGGCGTCCAGCAGGGTGGCGAGATTTCCTCGCGATATTGCGACACAGCGACGCTTCGTGAATTTTAATATTATTAGATGCAGTAGTCTCCTGCGGTACTCGACGACATCGATTCGTTCAGACGAAAGTTTTTCTTATGTTCCAACTTGAACACGAGAGATTAGAGAAATTCGAAATTCGTACGAGCTTAAACATTCGCGTAATTGGTAAGAGAGAGTACCGGCCCTGGACGATTCTCGAGAAAGGAAAACACGAATGCGAAGCGTTTTCTCGTATAAGGAGAGTACAAAAACCAGTTACCGACTGGAGGAAAACCCGTAAAAGGTACCCCAAGCGTTTTGTCGACTCCACGTATCGCGCGTTTCGCGACGAAAACGGAAACGGCACCGCGTCCACCGTCATTACTTTTCGTCCACAGTCATGTCCGGGTGTCGAGACGTTGAGCTAGCTCTCCCTTCTGCCTTCCATCAAGCATACATGCTACTTCTCCTTTTTGCTTTCTAAGAGACGTGTCAGAACAACTATATGACCGCACGAGAAGGAATGACATTCGTCTCGCCGATTATGAGTCGTTTCTTTCCATCATTCTTTCCCCGGCGTCGGTCCTCCCTATCTCCCCTTTTTCCCGACGAATGTTTGACCGCTCATTGTTTCAGTCATGGCAAAGACGCTTTGTCTCGCGATTCCACGATTTATCAGAATGCGAAGCACGACAGGAAGTGGGTTCCCAAAATATATGGCTAACCGCGACAATAAAATAAAAGAAACAGTGATGGTCTTGAAGAAAATATTAAATTCTATTCTCAATAATATTTATTTTCAGATAACCCTCCGCGCGGTTGTTAGTGCATAAATAATATGTTTATAAAGCGATGTGAGATATAATTAGAATATAAATGGAATGTACTTGCTAATAAAGTTAATTGCGAACGTTAATTCAACTCTGAATTTGAGTCCTGTTCAGTATACGGAAGTCAAGTAATATAAATTGCTTGATAGCTTGTATTTAACTTCCGCACTCAAGAGAACTCAAATCCAGAGTCGAAACGTTGCAACTAATTTCGTAATTCCAAGTACATTCCAATTGTTTGCGAATTATATTCTACTACTTTATAAATATATTATTTACCCATCGACAACCGCGAAAACTCATATTTTACTTACGTTTGATTTATTCTTGGAATGACAAAATTATTTTTATTTTAATTTATTCTTATACAGAGTATTCTCAAATAACGCCTATTAATCATACAGTGCTAATAAAAAACTAAGTCGAAAAGTCCTCTACCATTTTGCAATTTTTACAATATTTTTTTTAGTTACTCGATGAACAAAATGTCTAAAATCGACAACTTTAAGATATCTTTAAGAGTTCTCTTTAAGAAACATCTTCAAAATATTTCACAAAGAACACTGAAAGATATCTTAAAATTGTCTTATACATCAATTTTATTTGTTTATTCGGCAATGTTTAGAAATTAATATCTCGTTAACTATTGCAAAAATTACAAAATGGTAGACTTTTCGACTCAGTTTAGTCCATTCTGCCCCTATGCGAAAGATTTATCATTATTTTTTAAACATCCTGTATATACAGTCATAATATTATTTTTTAATATCACAAAAAGTATCAACTAAATAAAATTGATTGGTAAAGAATTATAGATTTTTATATATGATACGCGAAATAAGAATGTTTATTAGATGAAAAAAGATCGTGTTATATTTTGAATACCTCGTAATAATTTAAGCGTGGAATAACACGCCTGACAATTGCCTTAATTTCCGTGACTCTTTAGCTTAATGAGTACGAGAAGGAAGGAGGAACCGTTGCTCATTATCATTCATAATCCTGTTCGTCAAAGAGAGGTCATCGGTTGTTTCTCTTCATAATGATGATGAAGATGAGGAGAAAACACGCATCTGCCATTTCTGATTTCCTTATTTCCTTTTCCATCGTTATTAAGAAAAATTTACGCGTACCTACTCATGAGAAAGTGAGCCTACTTGAAATTATTTCAAGTGGCTTTTAACTTTTGACAAACTGCTTTTTTATAGTCTACTGACAAATTCATGTGAAAATATAAGTACGGAAAAGAACAAAAACTTTCCATCATTCATTTTACTTCTATCTTTTTTATTTATTACAGAAGCATAATAATTTATTTCGCATGTTACTATTACTTCATCGTGCGAACAAAACATGTATCAAGTCAGCCATACTTTTTCCTTCACTCTAAAAAAAAATGGAGATTACCCATGTATATCAAGTTTACGGATAAAAATACTAGTGTGCGTGATGTGGGGCGAGAGAAGCATAGAGCTATCTTGCATCGATCCGATTGAGGTAGGTCGAGTTCTCAAGGGAACCACGACTCTTATCCCAG